AAGAAGACAGAGCAGCCATCACCTTGTTTATCCTCTCTTGAGAATGTGCTAGAAAGGTGTGCACTGGACGGTTGCTGGTGGGTGGAGTCTGTGACTTCCAAATTCTTTGTGGCCTGCAAGGAAGAACCCATCACAGGACACATGGGTGTAAATGTGATTTATTAAAAGTTATGGAAGGGAAATACAGATGGAAGCTGGAAAGCAGAGAGCGTGCTTCTCTTTTTCAGGTGCTTTTAAAACTTTTGCTAATCTCTAGGAAGGGAGGAACCAGGTAGTTCCCATCCAATAATCAGTGAGTGGGGAGGGGCATGGATGGACCTTGGGCCAGGTGAGGGCAGTCCCTGAGTCAGAGTGTGGTCAGTTAGAAATGTAATGTTAAGTTTCTAGGAGTCCCAAACTTCTTCCTAATTTTAGCCTGCCTCAGGACAATTTAATTTGGTTGTTCTGCATATAATCCTGAATGACCATGAAAGTACTGTGGTTATTGATTTTTGGAGTAACAAATAAAAGTTAGCATTATCAAGTAGGAAATTTTCAAATATGGAATCTGTGAATAATGAGATGTATTTCCTCAAATATTTTCCTTTCACGTGATAGTCTTTCTTTCTTGAAATTTCAAGTTTCCATCTGGAAGCTTTCCCATCACACTAAAGAACTTTCTTTAGAATTTGTGGTGGCAAATTTGGGTGGTGACTAATTCTCTTAGTTTTCATTTCTCTGAAAATACCTTTACCCCCTCATCATTATCTGGGTTGATAGTTTCTTTCTTTAGCTCTCTAAAGATATTGAGATACTGTTGCCTTGTCTTCAAAGCTCATGATGCAAAATCTGTGGTGAGTCAAATCATCATTCATTTTATGTAATAGTTTTTCTCTGAGTGTGTTCAATTTCTCTTTACCTTTGGTTTTCAGCAATCTGACAATAACTTTTCTAGGAATAATTAGCTTTGCATTTTTCCTGCCTTAGTTTGCTGTACTTCTTTAGATCTGTAAATGTGTCTTTCAGGATAGGGGTGGGGTTGCTACACAGGAAGAGACGGTACCTAGTGTTCTGGAGATAGGGATTCCTGAATATTCCATAAGCAGTCACATGGGCACTGTCCTATCAAACTCAAGATTCTATATTCTAAGTAAGGAATTTGTATTGTTTGTATTGTGGGATGGTAGATAAGCTTAATTGCCTGGCATGGTCTTGCTATGGTCCTTCAATTAATTGCTTTGTAATTTAGTCTGCACTCTTTTGCCACCTCTAGATATGTTCTTTTTCTGCTATTGTGTGTGTGTGTGGCAGCTTTGTCTTCCTATTGTTTGGGGGCTGTTACTAATTTCTTCCTATATATCCTTTCAGGAATGTATTCCTTCAAGGAATCCATTCTTATAAGTCTAGACCATCAGGGGCTTATTTTTTTACTTATAAGCTTATATGAATTTAACAATCTTAAGTACTTCTTTTCTGCCAATTTTACAGATTTGTGGTATGAAGAAAAGACTCAAGAATGAATCAAAATAGCTCACCTTTTCTCCTCTTCCTCCTCTCCACCTTCTTCACTCCCTTCCTTCCTTTCTTCCTCTCTTTCTTTCTTGGCAGCCAAATTTAATTATTAAACTAAGTAGAGAAGGAATACAAGCAGTTCTACATAAGATGGACCAAGAAAGGAACACCACATATTCTCAGCCAGTAAAGGAGATTGTTTTGGGAGTTCAGAGTGTTCTGATTAAAACAGAATATTAAGCCACCCTAATTGATAAGATTGATTTTTCACAGTTTTGCTTATTTCACACAGGCTTTGAATTTGTCTTGAATTTCTCTAGTATTTGCCTTCAATTTCTAAGATTTGTGGATTGACTATGCTTTGAGCATAAACAGTTTGAAATTTATATTCAGACACTGCCACCTTGTGGATCATTCCGTCTGTGTCCCCATTCCACCTTTCAAACACTTGGATCTACTGAATCAAGTGATGTTTCCAATGGAAGTGATCCATTCAGAGTTCAGGTTATATCGACAAAACACCAAGAACAATACTAAAAGCTTGACATATGTCATTTAAACTTCATAAGAGCTTTATGAAAGTACTATTAAACCCATTTTAGAGATGAGAACACTAGGCCTGCAAGGGTTATGTAACTTGCCTGAGGTCTCTCAGTAAGAATAGCAGTAAAATTTTATAACTCGATAGCTTGCCTCCAGGTCCCTTCTTTTTACTGCACCCATGTGTAAAACTAATAAATCGAAAACCAAAGTGGTGTGATACTTAAGTTATGTCGTAATATAGAAGGAATGCTATTAGAAAAGATATTAAAGGTTTCACAGATTTGTGAGTGAGAATTTGAAGGACACTCATATAGGAAGAATGTAGCTGAAATAATATTCTTTGATCTAAGAGTTCAGCCTACTATTGGTCTATAATGTTTTGCCTGGCCAATGTACCATGCCTTCTAAGGAAGTACTCCTCGCTCTGATTCATCCATAGACCTTATTAGAGACTGTCAATCATGACATCTTTGATTCTTCTCCTAATCTGAACCAATAGGGATTCTTGGAATTTCCGCATTTGAGGCAGAGGGCTCAGCACTACTATCTTCCCTAATGGCAAAGCTGAAGTGTGCACCAGAAAACTAGTCAGCCAAGTGCTCTCCCGTGGAAGGTGGTCTAGAATAACAGAAAATAAAGCTAAACAGTAAGGTTCCAGTTATTTCTAGGCCAGTTACACTGTCAACTTTCCTGTAAAATAATTATTCTTATGGAACCTAATCAGATTTGGGTTTCCAGCCAAGTTCTCATATTTTCTTTTCTATCACTAGCTTAAGTAAGATAAGCACTGTCATTTGGCACCTCCTGTACAACATGAAAAACATCACTGCACACATAAGGAGTTAGCATTTTTGATTATGAAGGATAGCATTTATTTTGGAAAAATGACATTTTAGGAGTTTATTACAGATGCTGTGCGGCTCAGTATTTTTACAGTGTTTCACTCTTCATGCCTGAACTATTCTTCTCTACTTGCTCCTTGATGGCTTTAAAGCCATTTCTAGTTTTATTTCTTTCTTTAAATCTACTTTATAAATTCCAGTTTAATTATTTTTCTAAACTCTTTTTTGGTGGTACTGGGGTTTGAACTTGGGGCCTTGCCTTTGCTAGGCAGGTGCTCTATCACCTGAGTCATCCCCCCAACCCTAATTTTTTTAATCACCTAATGTTTTCTTGCAATGAAAAATTACTAAATTCAAAACGATAGAAATTAAGAAATGCCCATAATCCCACAAGACAGAAATAAGCACTGTTATAGGTATATTTCAACCCATTCAATCTTTCATGTGTAAACATAAAATTTTTAAAAAGACACAAAATGGCTAATTTTGATTTCTTCCTTCCCTATCCACATTTACAATGCATTTTCATTTAGTTGTATGTATGCTATTTTCTATTTACCTCTAAATTCTGTCCTCCAAGTAACCAGTACCTTTGTACTTTTTTTACTTTTCTAGGGAAAACCGGAGCAATTCTACGTTCCTTGACCTGGAATGTTGTTTCCTACTTATCTAGTTATCGCCTATTCATTCCTCCCATTTTAATTCAAGTGTCATTTCTTTGGGAAATAAAATGAAATCTACAGATTTTGTTTTTTGGAGGGGGCATGTAAAAGTTGCGATTTATGTTTAAGATTTTGGGTGTATGAGCTTTTTGGTTCCCCAGTGCTTACCAAAGGGCCTGACACCTGAAAATTTTTAGGTAAATAAATGACATCTTGGACTAGTTTAGTTGCTGAGGAGACATTTTATTTGTGAAAACTAGCAATGTTTGTGAAGTGTTGCGTGCGAAACACTTTGCTAAGAGCTGCATATGTCTATCTCATCACATTTTAACTATCCCCAAAATGCATTACTGTTCCCACTTGGCCAATGAGGAAACTGAGGTTTTAGAAAAGCTAATTAACTTGTGTGGATAGGTACAAGTAAGAGACAGACACAAGATGTGAACTCAGGTCAACGCATTTATTTACATTACCAGCTTTGTTTGCCACCACTGGCTTTGTTCATGAACACTTAAGTCATAGCGCAGTACTTTCCAAACCACTCACTTCTTACATTGCAGATTGGTCTTAGTTACGTATCAGATAGGAAGTCGGGGACCACAGAAAAGCATTATTCTAGGAAGGGAAACAGGAGTCGGTCCCCGACAGTCTCCTTCACTACGTGGCAGAAGCTGAGCCAAGTGCGGACTGCAGCGCTGTTTGCTGCGAGCCGATGTTTACCGAGTGCCAACCGCGTCAGGCATTCAGCAGCAGGCTTCCCACTCGGTCGTGACGGCTGGCTCTCTCTCCTCCCTAACGCTTCTCACGCAGCCGCTTAAAAGTCGGCCCTCAGACGCAGGCTTAAATGGAGAAGAGCCTAGTGCTGCCTGGCGCCGGGCACCGACTGGCGTGACCCGGGTCAGCAGCTGGTGGCACGGGGGCGACAGTGACGCCTGCTGACCAAGGGAGCGGCTCCCGGATCGTCCGGGTGTACCCGGAAGTCCGAGGGCGGCGGGGCTGCGTCCGAAAGCCGACGCCTTCGGTGTCCCAAGGACCCCGCTGCCAGAGCTACGGGGGCGGAAACGCTTTTTGCGCACGACGCTGACAGGGTTCCTACGGCGTGGTAGTCGCACGGCCGAGTCTCCCGTCTTCTCCAAGTCTCCGGAAGAGAGACGTTTCTACCTGGACGGTGGCTGACCCCGAGAGGGACACTTCATCCCCACGGTTAACTTGCGGTTCTCGGCCGCAGCCAGTCCCCGCCCCTAGCCTGCACAGTGGCCTCCAGGCCGCCGGCCGGGTCAAGTTCCACAGGGGCGCCGGGGAAAGGCCGCAGATGGGGTGCTGCCACGCTAGGCCTTCTGGGCAGGTGCCAGCCAATCGCCGCGAGGCACACATGCGCTCCAGCCAATCAACACCCGTTTTATTTCTGAGTACCGCCCGCTCTAGCCCTTTTTCCCTTCCCCCTCCGCCTCCAGGTGCTTGTAGTCGCGGCTGTAGCTGCGGCCGCCTCCTGAGCTGACCAGGGTCTGGGGACGGGTCCCTCCTGGCGTCCTTCGGTTGCTCTGGTTGCCTTCATTGAGGATGAGTACCCGTGCCGCTGTTTACCGACCCCGTGGAGACCAGCGGCGCACTTTCATCTAGCGACTGGTGAGGCGGTCGGGCTGAGGCGAGGCGTCCCGTCAGCCCTGGGGCGACGGGAGACCGTGTGCCTACGGAGGGTGCGGATGCCCGAGGCGCGGGTGGGCGGCGGGAGGGGACCCCGCGGTGCGGGGATGGCTGAGCCCGCGCGAGTGAGTGGCCCGGGTCCTCGCGGCCGGCCCCCCCGCGCGTCCACCCCGTCAGCTGATGAATGGCCTGTCCCGGCGGTGACCTGCGACGTCGCAGCTCTGCGCGACCCGCCCTCCACCCATGTTGCACTTCTAGTTCTGTCCCGGGTCACTTCCCAGGGAGCCATGGTTTCGAAGCTGTTGCTAGAGGCGCCCCGGTCCCTTGTCCCCCCGTGGAGTCACAGAGTTTTGAGTCCTTTCTGGGGTTTCTGACTTTGAGGCCAGGTTGCAAAGTGAAGTGGGAATTGACTACTGTGTGAAAAGGTTCTTTTAGGGGTAGCTGGGGAGACAGCGTGGAGGCCTTTTGTTAGGTGTCGGGTTCAGTTTTAGTTCAGATGCAAATCGATAACCAGGCCACGGGCCAACCTGGACTTCGACATAGTCGTCAGGCTTCACTTGTGTTAGCAGACTGCATAGTTTTTAGGGAGCACAGCTCGAGTAGTACTCTTTTTCTTATGCTTCCCAAAAGGGCATTACAAATCAGAAATTTACCAGAAATACTTGTGGAGGCAGGAGTATGTGGAGTTCGAGACCAGCCTGAGCTACATAGTAAGACCCTATCTCCAAAAAAAAAAAAAAAAAAACAAAACTGAATGGGTATGACTCTTGTGAATGTGTAGTGTATCTGTAAGGTGCCAATTCGCAGGGTGTCTTGATAATTTCCTTTTTCTGTTTTTGATTTCCTCGAGTTTTGTTTTAGAAACTGAAGTGTGATAGGTGAAGCCAGAAACAGGTGTTTTCTATAAAGAAGTATATTACAGATACTTGCAAAACTTTTGTCACACTACAGTTTACTTCAAGAAAACTTTGAAAACTGGATATTAATTTTTCAGTATGCTAAATTTAACTCAAAATGCTTCTGGTCTATAAAATTCAATAAGACTATAAATAAATTCGCCTGATAATTAAAGAAGCATGGTATCACTTGGTTGTTACAAATGGTACAAAACTGATTTAGTGTTATAGATAGGGTAATAATTCTTTGCCACATCCAGATGTGCTTGTCCCCTAAAATTTGGACAATTTCTCTTTTGTAAAACTAGATATTGTACTGAGAAAGCATTGAACTGAAGTTTCTGAATCTTGTACATGGAATATTTGAGAAAACCTTAGAATGAAATACAATGTTAATAAAGTTAAATTACTAATTTCCTAAAGTTGTATTTCTATTTTAAAATCTATTTTTAGAGCTTACAGAAAGAATTTTCAAATTCCTTGATTACAAGTCACTGTAATCTGCAGATTATAACATTTGTTTTAATTTAATATAAATACAAATTTAAGGGGAAGATATTTTGGTTTTAAAGAACACTTTAATAGTGTAACTTTTTTTCTGGTAGTACAGGCATTTGAACTCAGCGTCTCATGCTTGCTAGACAGGTGCTCTACCACTTGTGTCACTCTGCCAGCTGAAGAGCACTTTAAAACAATAAGCATACTTATTGAATATGTACTATATTTTGTGAAAAGTATATAGTATTCTCCTTTCTCCCTTCCCTTATGGAGCTTAAAATCTTTATGTATGAGCAAGGCATACACTTACAAGGCAGATTATTATTGTCATCATTTCACAAATGAAGAAATTGAGGATTGGGAGGCTTAAGTTACTTGCTCAAGATTTTAGATGTAGTAACCCAGTTCTACACTTGATCTTAGCCAGTATGAAGAAGATATAGTAGCCCAATTCTCATTAAGATAATTTTTCATACTGTGGTTTACTACTTATTGAAGATTTCCTAACTGCGTTTTGAGAGAGCAGTTTCATAAAGTAAAATAGGCACTATCTAGAAGACTCTCTATCAACTCATGGATAGGCTACTTAATTCTTCGTAGTAAAATGGAGTCAGTCATATTTACATGGGGCAAGAATGAGGCTGAAATGAGGGTTAAATTTATGTAAAACTCTAAATGTGTCCGTATGAAAGTTCAAACACTGATAAGTATTATGTTTGTAAGCCATGAGGAAGTGGCAGCCTTTTAAAGATCTGGATAAAATGCATCCCAAGCAGAAAGGGCCCTGATACAGTTCACACATTTTCTGTTCTCTTAACAAACAGGTCGTTCTTCCTCTTTTTTTTTTTTTTTTTTTTTAAACAACAACAAAAAAACCCACAACTTTTGTTAGATGCTTACCATATGAGTAGTCTCATTAAAATTTCAGAATAACTCAGGAGCTAATAGTTATCTCCTTTTCACATTTGAGAAAATTGAAACTTAAAGAAATTAAGTGCTGTGCCCAAGTTCACTTAGCTATTTAGTTGTAGTTGTATACCTGTGTTACTATTACTAGTTCAGGTATCATTAATTCAGGGGCTGAACTTTATATGCTGCGTAATCCCCAGGCCTCACTGAAATCTCTTTCTGAGGTCCCAGAGCTATTTTTAATATGTGAAGCATGAGTATTAGTTCATTTTGGTCTTTGATATCTTATGGAATGGCATAATCAGATTTGTGTTTTAGGAAGATAACTGGGCTCTTAAAAGGATAAGTAAAAGTGTTGTGAACTTAACTTTGGCTAAAACCTTTGTGGTGGACCAGTGTTTGGTGTTTGACAATTTCCTGTAGCTATACTTTTCTAACTGTATTTCCCTTCAACATTTCATATTTATCATACATAAAACACAATTTCATTTTTAATTTTTTTGTCCTTTTGTTTAGGTTTGTTTTATTTTTCTGATTTCCAGAGTATTCACCCCTTACTCCTCTTCTTAGCTGGCCATCATCCAAGCCAGAACCCTGGGAGTTACCACCATATCTTGTAAATTCAAGATCCTGGATAGACCTGTGAATTCCTACCTTTCAGGCACATGAAGCTATCCAGTATCCCCCATTCTTGTATACATGTTAGACCTCTTCTGAATTATTGGGCATTTTAGAATGGACCAAAATGATTCTAATGGTTTTATATGTATTATTCTCTCTGGATTCCAAGTCATCCCTCTCAATTCATTAGGCAAACTTGTACTCATCCTTTTAGTCTTAATTTATACATCTGTAGAAAATCTCCCCTGTATCCCTCCTTCACTTTCTATTCATGTGTCACTTGTTTTTATCTTTACCACAGGTTTATAATAATATATTTTTATTACTTGCTTGAATAAAATCATCTCCTCTACCAAACTGTGACCCTCTAATTGTAGGAACTTTATAACAGATAATAAATTTTGTTCATTCAAAACAGTTGGTAAACTAGCTATACATTCCTCTAAGTATTATCTCTAAACCTGTAGTTTCTCACTTTATCAAAAATACTTAGAACTTGTTTAATTTTGTATTCCTAGTCACTTGTATCTTCCTGTAGATAAACTGAAAAAGTCAGTATAGTATAATGGAAATGGCATGAATTTTGTTGTTGTTGTTAAACAGATCTGTTTTTGAATTCTAATTCCTTCCTTTACTAGTGATCTGATTTGTGTAGCTTACTTAATATCTCTGGTGTATAATATCTGGTATGTATTAGATACTTAATATTTACTTCCTCTTTTTTTAATAAGTATTTTAATATGTAAGTAAGATTTACAATAGGAATTATAAATTTGGGTAAGAAGTTGGGAGAGAAGTGTGGGCAGGAGACAGATTTCAGAGATTATGAATATGTAAGGTAGAGTTAAAAACATGAAAGGAACTGAAATTATACAGGGAGAATACAAAGTAGAGAAAAAAGAGGACTTCGCATAGAACATTGAGAGAAGCCCAGCATTTGAAGGTAGATTAAAAGAGATGGTGCCCTTGGAAGAAGTGGTAGAAGAGAGATCCTATGCTTACTTGCTTCACTTACTTCCTCCTCTTCCGAGGTCCCTTTCTAGATGCTTGAAGAGAATGAGAGGTTAAAGACTTAAAAGAAGGGAAGGCAAGTAACATAACTGAAAATATTCAAAAGTATTTAGGAAATTGGAGGTCACTAATAACTAGAATAGTTTCATTGGAGAACTAGCAGTTAACAGTGGTAATGAGGGTAAAACATAAATTTTGGGATTAAAATTCATTACCTTTTTGTTACTGGAAAATCATAATGAAAGCTATTATTTATTACTAGGCACCATAGTAGACATTTCATTAATCATTAACAATAACTTTGTGAAGTTGGTGGCATTATGTTCATTTTAAGGTGAAGAGTGAGGACTTGGAGAAGTGATAGTTTTTAGTTATATATCAAGTAACAGCTGACTTTGCTATAGTTGAGTCCAAATATGTAGGATGCTAAGAAACCCTCTTAGTCACTTCCATATTTATAATATTTTGTGTATGTATACACATATGCATGATATGGTATGGTTTTTATATATTTAATATTCATCTTTTCCCCTTTAAATGTTGAAATTATGTAAAGTAACAATTAGAAATTCTCTTATATCTTAATTTTTTTATGTAGGGTTTGAGTGATTCAACAGTAAGTATTTCCTTTCAGATATTATGCATACAGTGAAAATACAAAGATGGTGGGATTTTAGAGCATCAAAAGAATGAAATTAAATTATATGTGACTATTTTGCTTTGTGTCATGCAGTTTTAACATTTTAAGCCACTCAAGGCTTTGGTTCCTTTTTCTTTGTGTTAGTAAACTACTAAACACTTTTTGTTGTTTAAATTAATATTTTAAGAAGAGGGTGATTTTATAGGGACTATTTTCTTTTCTTTTTATTTTTTGCTGTCTTTGAGGTGCATTTTTTTTTCTTTTTCATTTATTCATATGTGCATGCAATGTTTGGGTTATTTCTCCCCCCCCACCCCTCCCCCTTCGCTTCCAAGCAGAAATTGTTCTGCTCTTCTCTAATTTTGTTGAAGAGAGAGTATAAACAATAATAAGAAGGACAAAATGCTTTTGCTAGTTGAGATAAGGATAGCTATTCAGGTCGATTCCTAGCATTGCTTCCATGTACATATATGTTACATTCTAAGTTGATTCTTCTTGAACTGACCTTTTCTCTAGTTCCTGATTCCTTTCTCCTATTGGCCTCCGTTGCTTTAAAGTTTCTGCATTAAGTTTCTTTGCACTGAGGACATTAAATACTGTCATGTTTTTTGGGTTTCTTACCTATCCTCATACCTCCTTTGTGTGCTCTAGTCTTACAATGTGACCAAAGTCCAATTCCCTTGCTGTATTTGCCCTTGATCTAAAGTCCACATATGAGGGAAAACATACGATTATTGGTCTTCTGAGCCTGGCTAACCTCACTCAGGATGACGTTCTCCAGTTCCATCCATTTACTTGTGAATGGTAAGATTTCATTCTTCTTCATGGCTGAGTAGAATTCCATTGTGTATAAATACCACATTTTCTTAATCCATTCATCAGTAGTGGGGCATCTTGGCTGTTTCCATAACTTGGTTATTGTGAACAGTGCTGCAATAAACATGGGTGTGCAAGTGCCTCTGGAGTAACCTGTGTCACATTCCTTTAGGATCCCACTCTTGGATCCCCAGGAGTGGGATTGCTGGATCATATGGCAGATGTATGTTTAGATTTTGAAGAAGCCTCCACATTTGTTTCCAGAGTGGTTGTACTAGTTTGCATTCCCACCAGCAGTGTATGAGGGTTCCTTCTTCCCCATATCCTTGCCAACACCTGTTGGTGCTGTTTCTAATGATGGCTATTCTAACAGGGGTGAGGTGGAATCTTAGTGTGGCTTTAATTTGCATTTCCTTTATGGCTAGAGATGATGAGCATTTTTTCATGTGTTTTTTTTGGCCATTTGAATTTCTTTGTTTGAGAAAGTTCTCTTTAGTTGCCCATTTCTTTATTGGTTCATTAATTTTGGGAGAGTTTAGTTTTTTAGTTCCCTATATATTCTGGTTATCAGTCCTTTGTCTGATGTATAGCTGGCAAATATTTTCTCCCACTCTGTGGGTGGTCTTTTCAGTTTAGAGACCATTTCTTTTGTTGTGCAGAAGCTTTTAAAATTTCATGTGGTACCATTTGTCCATTCTTTCTCTTAGTTGCTGAGCTGCTGGGGTTCTATTGAGGAAGTCCTTGCCTATACCTATTAGTTCCAGAGTGTTTCCTGCTCCTTCCTGTACTAACTTCAGAGTTTTGGGTCTGATATTAAGGTCCTTGATCCATTTTCAGTTGATACTAGTACAGGCTGATAAACACGGATCTAGTTTCAGTTTTTGCAGATGGCTAACCACTTTTCCCAACAACTTCTGTCAAATAGGTTGTCTTTTTCTCCCTCGTATATTTTTAGCGCCTTTGTCAAAATTAAGGTGGGTATAGTTGATGGTGTTTAGGAGTTTTTGGGTAGAGGTGCTTGGGTCTTTAAGGTATAGGATCATATTGTATGCAAATAGGGATATTTTAACAGTTTCTTTACCTATTTGTATTCCTTTTAATACTACTTCTTGCCTAATTGCTCTGGCTAGGAATTCCAGTACTATGTTAAATAGGAGTGGGGATGGTGGGCAGCCTTGTCTTGTTCCTGTTTTTAGGGGAAATGGTTTCATTTTTCACCATTAAGTATGATGCTGGCTGTAGGTTTGTCATATATAGCTTTTATAATGTTGAGGTACTTTCCTTCTATTCCTAATTTTCTTAGAGCTTTTATCATGAAATGGTATTGAAGCTTATTGAAGGCTTTTTCTGCATCTATTGAGATGATCAAGTGGTTTTTGTCTTTGCTTCTATTAATGTCTTTGCTTCTATAAATTTACTGATTTCATATGTTGAACCACTCCTGCATTCCTGGGATGAAGCTGACTTGGTTGTGGTGAATGATCTTTCTGATGTGTTGTTGAATTCGGTTTGCCATTATTTTGTTGAGTATTGTCGCATCGATGTTCATTAAGGAGATTGGCCTATAGTTCTTTTTGGAGGTGTCTTTGCCTGGTTTTGGGATGAGTGTAATACTGGCTTCATAAAATGAGTTAGGCAGTTTTCCTTCCCTTTCTATTTTGTGGAACAGTTTAAGGAGGGTTGGTATTAGTTCTTCTTTAAATGTCTGATAGAATTCAGCAGAGAATCCATCTGGTCCTGGACTTTTCTTTTTTGGGAGACTCTTTATTGCTGCTTCAATTTCATTTTGTGTTAGAGATCTATTCAGTTGATTAATGTCCTCTTGGTTCAATTTTAGATGATCATAAGTATCTGTAAATCTGTCCATTTCTTCAAGATTTTCAAATTTATTTGAATATAAGTTCTGAAAGTAGTCTGATAATTTCCTGGATTTCCATGGTGTTTGTTGTTATCTCCCCTTTTACATTCCTGATTTTACTGATTTGGGTTTTTTCTTTCCTCATTTTAGTCAGATTTTCCAGGGGTCTGTCGATCTTGTTTATTTTTTCAAAGAACTAACTTTTTGTTTCATTAGTTCTTTGTATTTTTTTTGTTTGTTTCTATTTCATTGATTTCAGCTCAAGTATTATTTCTCTTCTTCTGTTTGTTTTGGGATTTTCTTGTTCTTTTTCTAGGAGTTTGAGATGTAGCAGTAAGTCATTGATTTGAGCTCTTTCTGTCCTTTTAATATATGCACTTGTGGCTATAAACTTTCCTCTCAGGACTGCCTTTGCTGTGTCCCATAGGTTCTGGTAGGTCGTGTTTTCATTTTCATTAACTTCCCGCAACCTTTTAATTTCCTCTTTTATTTCATTGATGACCCATTGATCATTGAGCAATGGGTTGTTCAGTTTCCAACTGTTTGCATGTTTTTTGCTATTATTTTTGTTGTTGAGTTCGAGTTTTAATGCATTGTGACAGATAGAATGCATGGTATTCTTTGTATTTCCTTATATTTGCTGAGTCTTGTTTTGTGCCCTAGGATATGAGCAGTTTTGGAGAAGGTTCCATAGGCTTCTGAGAAGAATGTATATTGTGTAGACGTTGGATGAAGTGTTCTGTAGACATCGGCTAGGTCCATGTGATTTATGGTATGATTTAGATCTAGGATTTCTTTATTGATTTTTTGTTTGGATGACCTATCTATTGGTGATAGGGGGTATTAAGGTCTCCCACTACCACTGTGTTGGAGTTTATATATGTTTTTAGGTCCTTCAGAGTATGTTTGATGAAATTGGGTGCGTTGATGTTGGGTGCGTATAGGTTGATGATTATTATTTTCTTTTGGTCTATTTCCCCTTTTATTAGTATGGAATGTCCTTTATGTCGTTTGATCAATGTAAGTTTGAAGTCTGTAGGGACTATTTTCAATTAAATAATTCAGTATCAACTGCTATTAAATGCTCTTATTTCCAGATGGGAAATAAGAATAGTTAAGAACAGAAAGCTAGTTGACTTTTGGTTCTTTATATGATTTGAAGTGGGAGTGGAAATAATAGATTTGGAATATTTTGTATCTTTACCTGGTACACAGAAATTTTCTGTGTACCCGTAGTATGTCTCTAAATAGTCTTAAAACTTTTTCAGTGCTCTCAGCCTATATATTAAGATTTGTAGGGACTACAAGCAAGATTTTTTTCTTTAAAATTTGTATAGTTTTCAAATTATATTGAATTTATTCATCTTTTGTGACTTTTAGATTTCAGAGGCCTTTTGTACTTTGTGATTATAAGAGGAGTCTCCTACGTTTCAATTTAGTGTTTCTATGCTTCCATTTTTGATATTTGTTTTTGTGCCATCTAGAATTTATATTGGCATAAAGTGTCTAAAGTTATTTCTTTTCCAGATAGCTATTCAGTTGTTCTAACATCCATAGTTTATCATTTTCTCTTGTGGTGAAGGACCTTTTAGGTTTGAAGACGTTACTAGCACAGTGCCGGCACGTAGTAAAAACTAAATAACTGGTGGAGTATTGGTTATTGTTGTGGTAGTGATGGTGATAGTATAGTTTTAGGTGGTAGAGTTGGAAAGGAGTCTCATAAAGGACTAAATTTAAATGTGCTTATAGTTTCTGGGGATATAGCTTACAGATGACAGAAACACAGAAGAGGAAGAATGAAGGTACTGGAAGGAAAGAGGTCACCTCCAGGTACAAATATGGAGGAGGTTAACCTTAATAATAGGAGTGGAATAAATGAGGTAAGGATGACTGATATAAGTATGGACACTATAAATACGAAAAGTTGATAGCTTTTTAAAAAATAGGGTTTGAGAGCTTGTAAATATGGAGCTAGTTGTAATTTAAAGTACAGTAAGCTCACCTTATTCACAGATTTAGTACAAGTAGTTTTGACCAAGCACGAGCAAATATAAATAATAAATCAAATCTCAAAAATGAAAATTTTAAATTCCTAAATTGGCTGTACTAAATTCATTTAATGTGGAGAAGCTCTCAGTCAGTTCTGCATTATTGTCAGTTGTGTTTAAATTATGTAATCTGCTCAGTGTTGCTCTGCCCTCAATTTTGTGAATATATGACTCCCAAAAAACAAAAGGTGCCCCAAAGCAAAGCAAAGGTTATGGTAATCCTGAGCCAAACAGGTATGTAATGTGCTTAATTTAAGTGGTAAGGTGGAAATTTTAGATTTGTTGAAGGGCAGCAGAAGGTAGGCAGTGTTAATGGGAAAAATGAATCAAGCATCCATAGTACAGCACTGAACTCTATGCATCCAGAGCATACATGGTTTTTCCTCAGTGGTGGTCTTCTTAGAATCATATACCTGTAGATACTAAGGGTCTTCTGTACATCAGAAGAATGAGAGACAGACTTTGAATTTTTTCTTTCTTCTCTTATAGGTCGCCCTTGCAATTATGGATTTTTAAAAGGATCAGACAGTGTGGAGGGGGAGTTCCCCTCCTCACTCCCCCTTGGTGCTTGACTCCAGGAATAATTTGTAAATCTGGAAGTTTTTTTTTTTATGAAGAACTTTGATACAAACTTTATAGAATTATTTATAATTTTTTGATTTAAGTGCCAAAAAATTATATAAAGATATATAGTTTTATACGATTGTTATAAGGATTTAAATTATAATCCAAAAAGAGTCATTTATTCTCTATAATTCTTCCTGAATAGAACCTTTGTGTCTTGGCTTTTTCATTTTTGAAAATTAGTCTTAAAGGGACTATTCTGAAGAAGTAAGCAGTGAAAAAGCAATTAGGATGAATTCTCCCATCCCTGACTGCACGTCAAAATGTCGATCCCTGAAGCATGCTCTGGATGTCCTTTCTGTTGTAACAAAGGGGAGTGAAAACCAGATTAAGACTTTTCTCTCCAGTCATTGTTACAATGCTGCTACTATCAAAGATGCCTTTGGCAGGAATGCCCTCCACCTTGTTTCCTCCTGTGGAAAGAAAGGAGTGTTAGATTGGCTTATTGAGAAAGGAGTGGATCCACTGGTAAAAGACAAGGAGTCTGGCTGGACAGCATTGCACAGGAGCATTTTTTATGGACATATTGATTGTGTTTGGTCTCTGTTGAAGGTAAGAGTACTTGTTTGAAACTGTTATTTGGTAGAGTGTGTTTTTCTTAAAATTTTCATATATTGCACTAAGAATGATTTGCATTTTGTTCTTATCACTTGTTTGATATGGCTATTCTAACTCATTTTTGGAATTAATATTCCCTATATCCTCTTTATTTTAATTTTTTGGGTTGTAAAAATTTAAACATATCAAAGTTTATAATGTATAATTGGCCAATTTTGTGTTATGTCTGTGTCCCATATTATTTTGAAGTAATTCCTAGACATTTTATAGTTTAATCAATACATGTATTGTTAAAAGAAAAACCTAGGCAAAAAAAAAGAAAATTGAACAGAGTTTATTTGAGCAAAGAATGATTCATGAATTGGGCAGCATTTAGAATCAAAGAGTATTTAGCCTGGGGATGTAGCTTAGTAGTAGAGCTCTTGTTCAGCCTGTACAAATCCCTGGATTCCATCCCCACCACTACCACAAAAAAAAAAGTTTAAAAAAATAAAATAAATAAAATTGAGAAGAAAAAAAAAAGAGAAAAGGGGAGAGGGAATGCGATTAAGAAATCTCTGTAGCAGGTAACATGGCTTGGCAAGCTTGCACAGGCTGATACCGAAGTAAGACAAAGAAAATATATTTGAATGGTCAGAGTGAAAGGAACCTAGTTAGAAGTGTGTTTCTGGTTTGTGATTGGTTAAGTCTTCAGTTTCATTTTACAGTTTACATTGGGCTTTGTTTGCTTGCAAAGGAAGTTAATGTTAGTGCTGTCCCAGTCTAATGAAATCCCCCCCAAACTTCAGTATCTTACAGTATTTAAAAAAATATGTTTTTTTCTTAACTAACTGTACTATTAACTGGTTTAAAAGGGCATGTAGGAATTATAGTTTTGAGAAATCTGTACATTTCTTGGTTAGGTAGGCTAAAATGTTTATAGTCTAAAAATTGGTAAGTGAATTTCTATGAAATTTCCCACTCAGTAGATTAAGTCTAGCTTTGTTATGATTAACCAAATGATGAAGTGTTTTAATATACACTTGAATGTCACTTGCACTAATGAATACAAATTAAAAACTCACCATTAGAAGTCAGGAATTCTAAATTTAACAGTTTTGTTTTGTATGGGTATTTTCTCATGTTTATGCAGACCCTACAAAAAAACAAAACAGTTTCTGTCCTCAAGAAACTTATAGTGACATTTAAAAGCCTACTTTGAGTGTCTTCTCTTTATGACATTTAAAAATTATTTACATGATTTTTTGTAGTAATAAATACTGACCAAAATACTTTTTAATATAAATTAACAGTAATTTTGTGTGTGTGTGTGTGTATGTGTGTGGTACTGGAGCTTGAACTCAGGGCCTATGCATTCAGCCACTTCATCAGCCCTTTTTCGTGATGTTGTTTTTCAAGGCTCTTTGCAACCCTTCCATGTAAAGATGTACAGTATGGCTACAGAAAACAAATATGTTTATGCAAATGTGCACATGCACATAGATACAGTGCTAGAAATAGGGTCTTCTAGGCAGTCAGACTTGCCTTACTGTGTTAGTCAGTTTTCTGTTATACAAAATACTTGAGATAAGTTAACTTATAAAGAGGAAAAGCTTATTTTTGCTCACATTTTTTTAGAGGCTTTAGACCATGACTGATTGGCCCCATTGCTTTGGGCCTGTGATGGTGTACTATATATAGCATGTCCAGGAGCCTGCTGTGGAGCAGGCTGCTTACCTATGGCATCTGGGAACCAAGTGTGAGAGAGAGACCAGCATCCCATCATGCTGGTCAGAGCCCCTGACCTAAGACTGCCCACTAGGCCCCATCTCTTAATGGTTCTAGCACCTCCCAATAGTGCCACTGCCTGGAGACCAAGCTTTTCATTTCACAATGGGCCTTTCGAGAACATTCCAGAGCCGAACTATAGCATTTACATGGAAAACTGTCACATTTGGTTCATTTTGATATAAAATTTACTTATTTCTTTGCATTGTCTGGTCATTCCTCATTCCAGCGAGAACTGGATTTTGATTTTTTTTTTAATTCTCATTTCTGTATGATAGAAAAATATGTATGAATATGAGAGATAATTGTTATGAAGTGATTATGTCTCTCTTTTCAATGTATTTATTGACCATTTGACTTTTTTATCTTTAAGAATAGGAAATAACTGATTAGAAATAAACTGATAAAATACATTTTCTTTTTCTAGCATGGTGTAAATTTGTATATGCAAGATAAAGAAGGCTTGTCACCTTTGGATCTTCTAATGAAGGATAGACCAACTCATGTAGTATTTAAGAATACTGGTAAGAAAATTCCACAAATACGTTACATTAAGGAACAGCTTAGAAAACTTTAATGAAATTTTACTCTGATTAAAATAATGGGAAGATTTTTGTGTGGATATCTGCAAGGAACTTTCACTTTGGTGTGTGGTTGATATTTTGGGTTTTATATTCAGGACAGATTATTTTGCATTTTTAAATTTCCATTCCTATGTATGTGTACAAGACTAGAAACAACCTAAAATGGGAAGACAGAATTAGCTGTTTTAAAATGCTTACTGTATATTTAGAAAATAATACCAGTATTTGAGGTAGATGGAAAAAAGAATGCAAGTGATTATTCTAGCCACACATTTTAATTTCACTTACTTCAGTGTGTCCTTTGGAAATGGGAATTGGCAGAAAAGGAGAAGAGATTTAAGTGGGGTGCTGCATAGTTTGTATCTAAGCTTAAGTCAGGATTCAGTCATGATTTTTGTATTTATCTTGGACACATTACATTGCAGGTAACATTATAATTCCATTCTAGGACTTGATCAGCCTTCCAGAATAAAAATGAAGATTTATATCATAAACTTAGCTGTGATTAAGTTATATCTCAGTTTAATAGAATCTTACCCTAATCACTAGTGTGATTTTGTGTACTAAGATTAAACTATTGAAAATTAATGTTTTTCTAGAAATACTAATATCACATTTGCTTCATGCGGAGCCTTTATATGTACGGATTAATAATAAGTGTATTTAAAGTAACTATATGTATTTTTAAGGAAACTAGGTACAGCTGGTGTGGTTTACTCATGTGGTAGTTCCAAACAAGCAACAAATTTTTTGATTGTTTACGTTGGAGACAGGCTCTTTTGATTTGGACCTTCTGGTTTCTAGAACTTCCCGTATAATAGGTATATAATTTAAAGAAAGTATTAGTAGGTTTCTAAATATAGTAGTTAATATGGTTGCTAAATTAGTTCCTATCATGAGTCATGTTTTAGATAAACTGATCAGTAGTATATATCTATAATTTAAACATTTGTTTTAAAATATAAAAGTATAAAACATAATTTTCATTTTAGATCCAACCGATGTCTACACTTGGGGTGATAATACAAATTTTACTCTGGGTCATGGAAGTCAGAATAGCAAGCATCACCCAGAGTTAGTGGATTTGTTCTCCAGGAGTGGTGTTTACATCAAGCAGGTAATTGGAAGTATATGTGGACTTTCAGAGATTAGAAAGAATTTTGAATTTGATAGTTGAAATTTTCATGTGAGTTTATGTTAATTGTAATTTTACTGAAGATACAATAACATTTTAATGAGGAAATCTATCAGTAGACATGTACTAATTCCATTTTTTATTTTGAATTCCTTAATCATATTTAGACTGTAAAATACCCTAATAATATGAGATGTTTGTTCAAGGAATGTTAGAAATTAGAAAATTGCTATTTAGATGTTAATTTAAATTTAAGAAGTTAGAGCTTCTGTTAATTTTCTGGTTTTTGTTTCTACTTGATAAAAATTGGAATTCTTCTGGTTTTCTTAAGTGAATTTGTTGATACTCAATATTATTTTTGGTAAGTAAATGTTATTTTTGTGTGTAAAATTAATTTCTTTAGCCTCAGCCTTTCTCTTCAAGTTTAACTGTACCCTAGCCAGTATTTTAAGATTTTTTACATTTAACAAGTCTGAAGTGTTATTTTTGCCACTTAAACTCTTCACTTATCTTTTTATTTGGCTGTATTGGGATTGGAACTCAGACCTCATGCTCACTAGACAGGTGCTCTACCACTTGAGCTATGCCTCCCAGCCTCTTTTCACTTTATTTTTTAAATAGGGTGTCTCATGTTTTTTGTCTGGGGCTGGCTTTGGACTGCTAAGATTGGCCTCTTCCTAGGTAGGATTGCAGGCATGTACTACCATGCCCAGATTTTTGTTAAGATGGGGTCTCTACCTTTTTGCCAGAGCTGGCTTTGAACTGCAATCTTCTCAATCTCTGCTTCCTGAGTAAATGGGATTATAGGTGTGAGCCATCAGCCTGGTCTTCTACTTAGTTTTTAATGTTATGAACCTCAGTTTCTAAATCCTGCATATGATGCCTCATGTCTACTGAGTTTATCTTTGGTCTTATGAACTGTGTTAGGACTATAGTAACACGTGAGATAATCAACTTAAAAAGAGGAAAGGTTAATTTGGCTTACAGTTTTGGAGGTTCCAGTCCATGTCCGGTTGCTTGTGTTGTTTTTGGGCCTGGTGAGGTAGCACAGCATGGCTGGGACTGCAGTAGAGCAGGCTGCTTACCTCATAGCAGCAGGGAAGCAGAAAGAGAATGAGAGACTTGATATCACACAATCCCCCCTTGAGAGCATGCCCCTAAGGACCTAAAACCTACCACTAGGCCCCATTTTTTATAGGTTTCTACCTCTTTGCCATAGTACCAAACTGAAGACCAAACCTTTAACACATGGACTTTTAGGGGGACAGTTCAGCTCAAACCTAGCTGCCAAGCCTTTTTAAGGTCT